CCAGGAATGTAGAAACCAATCCCCCTTCTAGCCCCAGTTCGCGTGGCTATCCACATGAGTTCGAAAGCCGCGCGGATTGGGGCTAGGAAGGGGATTGGTTTCTAGCAGGGAGATTCGCATTATTCCAACACTGGAGAGTACATCGAACATCCTTGTTGTTGAAGTCCTTTTTTAAGTATTTAAGGGCAGGTGGATAGTATATTTCTAGAGTGTTGTTCCTTTTTTGGCTTTAATAGACCATTTTTGCCACTCATACAAATGCTAGTTTGATTTCTTTCAGAATGATGTAACACAACTTAGAGATTTAACAGCAGCTCTACAGAATAAAGTGGTTGAGTTGCAAAAAGCGACATGTTCAAGTGCAGCGCAATCTTCTATGAAAATTGATCAACTTAGGTGAAAACCTCTTTTTTTTCAAGCATTTTATGTAATTCTTGCTTTTTCTTCTTTGTTGGTATAACATGTTTCTGATGTTCAATTATCACAACACCGTTTTTCCACTGGTTTCCCACTTTCTTGCAGAAAAAAAATCGCATGATATTTGGCTGATGAATATACATATATTTGGTCAGAATATGCTCCAAACTTGTCGGTACTCTTAGACATTATCTTTTACCGAAACATACTTTTCGGGACGTTAGACCAAAGCTGGTTTTGGCCAAATTGGAGAAAAAAGTTAAACTCTTCAGACAGCAATTGATGTATGACTACCTGGATTCTGTTACAATACACGGGAGTAGCAGGTGGCCTGGATTCAGATTAAACAAAGAGTAGGACTGGCTTTAGGTTTTTAGGTTTAATCATTCTAGCGCGGTTTCTGTTTGAAAACTTGGTCCCATACGTTTTTCTTTGGTCACAGGTATGATCGTGCTGTTCAGCTGTATGAGAACCTCAGACAAAGTAAGTGATGATTTTCTTCTTTCATGTTGCAATGAAACCGGTCTCTTATCTCGGCTCACTCCAAGTGGATCGTCGGCGCTAACGACTGGGGGCTAGTTTCCTGGCTCACTTTCTTGCCCTCAATTTTCATGTAGCAGTGTTCGTCTGTACAAAAGTTTTTTTAATGTTACCCAAGATAACACTTCTTGTTGTGTTTTAAGGCGACAGACGACCTGCAGATTGTGAAAATATGGCCACAGTAATTCTACAGATCCTTGCACATAGAGAAAAACTCCATAGGGAGATTTTGTCCAATTTAAGGTAAGAGAATTTTGTAATTAGGAGAATATGTCAAATTGTTCGTCAAAATGAGATTTAGTGCCGTAGCATCCGGCTTGTGCACGGAAGGTCATTACTTTGATTCTAGTCAAGGACGCAGGACTCATAGATAATCTACTTCTAGGAAGTTCATATTTGGAAGGCCGTGAAATTATTCAATTCTATGTTCTTTTTTTGATGTTGTCCCCAATTTTCTTTAGTGAAGTGATGGCTTGTAGAAGAGACATGCGCAGACTGATGCAACGTCTTCTTCAAGTCAAATCAAAAATTATTACCAGAGCGGAGGATCTAAAAGAGGTTAGTTTAGAGAGAAGTTGTTTTCAATTAAGAGCTGTAAATAATCCGAAATTTCTTTTACTTCTTAGTGTGATTGGTCCAGAGACTTGCACCTTCCTTTCAAACAATCACATTCTAAGCTACAGCCAATTGCGGCATAACCACTCAAGTTTTCCCGCGCTTCACGCAGTTTGCTTGTTTTACACAATATCGTTGCACCCTCCATCTGTAGCTGTTAAGTATAAACCCGTTAACAGGCAATTAAGCAATTTCTAAGCCGATAATAAATTATGTGTATGCAGAAGGCAATAGAAAATTGATGTTATCATCTAACTGGGGTTAAAATCCTGGAGACTGCGATTTTTTATTTTACTCTATTGATTACTTTTGATTATTTTGTTCTCCAGATGCAAAAACAGAGACAAGTTGATCTTTGGAGGCTTCTCCAGTCAAAGGTTGTTCTTAATTTTTTTTTTTTTTTTTTTTTAATGAAGTATCAAAGATAGCATTAATTTTCCACTTGTACGAAAGTTAACTCGCCTCCCTGTATTGATTGAATTGGACGAGACACTTGACCTAGGTTTTGCAGCGTGCCCTCATGCATTGGGATACCCTCCCTCAATAATGGTCGAGTTAAAAACTAATTGACTAGTTTTATTTTTTTCCCCCTGATTTCAGAGACGAAGAGAAGAGGATCGACGCCGTTCGATGAGCAGTTCATATTCATCTTTCTCTTCGATTGCAGCTTCAAGGTCTTTGCTACATCATCAGCATAATTGATTTAAATTTTTCTGTGTCATCTCCGTTTTTCTCTCTTCTAGATAAACATCGATACCTTCTGTTGATACTGCTGCTTTTTCTATTCCACACTTACCTAGCCATACCAGAGTCAAAATAAGTAGAGTTAAAAGCACTTATTTTTCATAATTTTTCTTGTCTTCGTAGTTCCAGTACACAATCCATTGTTCTAATAGAGGAGAGTTCAAAGAATTTTGAAAAGTAAGTCCAAAAGTGGTCGTGCGATGTTATGCGACCTATAGTAATGTGTGTGGAATAGCGAAGTGAGTCGATTTTCAGTTGCACCTGATTGGCCGATAGCATCGAAACTTCACGCTGATTGGTTCAAAGTTGCAGTTGCACCTGATTGGCCGATAGCATCGAAACTTCACTCTGATTGGTTCAAAGTTGCTACCCCTTTCCTAGCCCAACACTAACCGTAACTTGTGGTCAGTTGACAATTGTTTGGTTAGGGGAGGGATAGGTTCTCAGATACTGACATTGATCCAATGCCCCTATACCTCTCTGTATTTTTCATTCACGTAATTGTTTACCCAACTTCCGTGCCTTGCAGATTGGCTGGACTATTAAACACATTGAAGAATGATCAGATGAATGATACAGAGGTAAACTTTTGATTTTGATCATGTCAACTGTGTTCTTTTGTATTGCGCTTATACTGACCGTGATATATGCAAGAATTGAACGAAATCCACAAGTAACTTAACACGCAAACTTTCATAATATCCGGAAAACTGGCAGTTTCCAACCTACGGCCTCGACCCATTCCCTTTACGTCGCTGTTACCACGGTCGTTGTCATATCATAAGTCTCTTTCAACAATGAAGCAAAGAGCTGAAGAAAAAAAACTGAATTTAAATTTGTCATTTTGTGACAAAAATATAGTGACATAAATTTGTCAGTGTGTGACTCCTGGGAGGATTGGTTTTTAGTATAGGTAATCACTGGATTGTTAGTACACTTTGTTATAAATAGGGACGAGTTACGTTTTCAGAAGAATAAAATTGCGCGAACCCGTCGAGGCTTTTATTCAAAATGCTCCTCCTCCTTCAAAGGCCAACTGAAGAAGTGAGTCACCGGGACTTGAAATTTCTGAGTCATAAACTCCCAAGACTGACTACCATCTAGTTTGTCTAGACAGCATCGCTACAAAATTTAAGATCATGAGAGTAAAGGAAATGAGCTCTTTTTGTCAGCATAATAGGAGATTTATAAATAAGAGTATGGAGAATGTGAATATTGATGCAAAGGTTTAATGGGAGAAGGGTTTATGTGATGATGAAGTTATGGAAATTTACCTCAGTTTCTGGTTTTTTTTTTCTGTTTTTGTTTTAGATTTTCGACTGGGAATTCCTGGAGGAAGAAAGTGATTCACCACAAAAAAAAACTGTGTGAAGTGTGTCGGCGATTTGTAGTGTCTTAAAAAGTGACTGCTGATTGATTTTCAAAAATTACAATGTGAGAAGTATGCACCACAATTTTCGGAGTATTAAGCGGACTTATGTACAAACCATTTGCCGAAATAAAAGAAATGGGGGCGATAGTTTCAGCACTTTCTTGTTAATAACAAGGTTTTAGCTTTTTATAATGGACTTTTGTGAAACACCATCCAATGGTTGTTTCATAAATGCTGTTTGCGGGGGTTTTACTCGGCAATTTTTTAACTGTGTATAGCGTCGTAAGTATCTTGATGCAATAAAATTGCTTTTATGCAGAACTTGCTGTGTCCTCTTGATTTGTGTTTTCACTGTCAAATAGATTAGTAGTTGCTAACGTTTGCCTCATTTTGGCAACAAGGCGAGCATCTTGAAGTGTGCTGCCTCAATTAGCAGACACAAACGTAACCCACCCATTAATTTACGCGTGATTCCATTAGTTGCTTAGCATCACGTGGGACAAAATCACCGGACAGTTATCACGCAATGGAGTGTCCTCCGTTTATTTCCATCGAAAAGATACAAAGCCAGCGGAAAAAAGCCAGCTCAAGAGTTTCATTTTTCATTATTTCATTTCATTTTCATTATTCTTATTACTTTCCTTGGAAGAAAAACGAATCAGTTATGTAGAGTCCACCGGTAATGACATTAAAAAGCTGATCTCAAATACTGCTCAGGAAAGTACAAAAGTGTTAAAAAGCGTCATATTATATTTTTCTTTTCTCTTTTCTACCATTCATGATTTCATATTTGGATTCCAACAATTTTAGAGGTCAATTTGATTCGTCGTCCTTTCATATGTGCCATAACATGCCAGTATTTAGGGCATACCGGTTGGCACAGTACAACTTGAATAACAATCTGATGAGCTAAAAACCGCCCCTGAAGCGGCCAACCTCTCATTTTGAAATCTTATTTTTAGAGCACAGCAATCTTTAAGGAAGAAAGGAAGAGAAAATTTTTTGCTTTCTAACTTTTCTTTATTTGAACAATGAATTGATTTGTAAAAATTGAAAGTCTTAAAGAGCGAAGAAAACGAAAAAGCAAAACAAAAGTGTAGATTTTGTATTGGTTTTTGACGCGTGTAGGATTATGTCGGACATTTCGCTAGATGTGTAAGCATACAAACGATCGAGTCATATACACAGGCCACCCCCCTACCAAGGACAATTATTTTCAATAACAGTCCCACTCGAGTTTGCCCGCGTCAGCTCGTGCGACATATATGACGTATCAAAAAGTATTAAGAGTGACCTAGAGTACAGCAGGTTTCAAAACATCAAGATGGCGGACGAGCGCAATCCAGCCGAGAGAGTGCGGAGACTTGTCCAATACGCTGGGCAAGTTGAGGTTGATAATAGCATAGCACCTAAGAAATACTTCAGATCTGGTGTAGAAATGGAGCGAATGGTAAGAATTATTTGCCAGGTGATGGGATACGAAATAGATTGCGTTGATGTTTGTATGTTTGTTGCAACAATTTTTTTTATCAACAGTCTCATCTTGGCGTACTCTGTGGTTGCTTCTTTTTTATTGTGCATCATAGCCTCTGTATCTATTTTTCTTCGAAACGAATTACCCTTGTACGATTAATTACAAATAATGATTGCTTTCGATTTTCCTTTCTGATCGGCCGCCAAATCTTGCGAAATAAAGCCTTACAGTAACTTGCATTATGTCATTTGCTAAATAAAGAATTGACACAAGCTTCGTGGAAAGCTGCTTAAGGCATTGTCATTTTAGCACAAATTTATCTTTTATTTGATGGCTTATTACCCTCAGAAAAACTCTCAAGTCCAAAATTAAACTTATGGGTTTAATTCAGTCATACACACTTGTGATTGTTGTTGTTGCTGTTCATGTGGCCTTTCTTAAATTTTCTAACATCTCGTAGGCAAGGATATATCATGATGAAGGAAATCTGGAAAGTGCATTTATTTTGTATTCAAAATTCATCACGTAAGTAGATGATTAATACCCTGGAAAAAAACACGATTTTGGAAAGAAGACATTTATTTAATTCTTCAATTTTCTTCTTAAAATCTTGCTGCTGACAAAATTGAACCCTAACATGATAAAGGAAATAGGGAAGTGGCTTTAAGCGTGATGTAAGCCAAGCCCAGAGACCAGGTACTTACAGTTTGGTCATTTTAGTTCCTGTAGCACAGAGAGAATAGGAGATTTTCCATTCTTATTGAATGGGAAACTGCTCCACAAGGAGTGATCACTGACAGTTGAGTGGTACCTTAACCCCTTACACCCTACCATTAGTACGCATATTCTCCATACTGCTCTCTATAATTTTACTATACATTTCCTAAGGTGCTGACAAGGAGAATTTTTTAAACAATGAAGAGCTTCTTTAGTTGGTGATCATTCCCTTTGTTATCGTGGCCTTAATGTTTGATTCGACATGGAATGGAGAAATTAGATGCTGGTCACTCTTAGAAGTTAAAGGGTTAACATATAGTTCTAGGTGGAATGGGACTGCAAGAGTTGAGTGTGTTGTCCTGAACACAAGGATGACAAGAAAGCTGCCATTTATTTAGTACCTATCCACACAAAAGTGATAATTGCTATCAATGAGAATGATTTTGTGTAATGTTAAGTGTCCTGTACAGGGATTGTTGATTGTGTATCTCTATTTGGAATTAGATTGTTTGTGGAAAAACTTCCTTCACATCCAGAATATGCCAAGGCAGCGCCAGGAGACAAAGCAACAAATAAGAAGGTATATAATACTTTTGATAAAAACCCATTGATACCTGAGCACTTAGAAAAAAGACAGACAAAGAGTATCGCAGTGAAAGGAGTGAATCTAGGGGTACGGCTGATTGTGTTAAGAATTGCGTCTTGGTATAACATTGATAATTTGTAGAACCATGTATTTCCATGAGTACACATATGTATAGGCAGTATCCAGTTTGTTGTGCTTGATAATCCCTTTGTTCAAATGGTACCTTCCATATTTTTAACTCATCATAACACCATGCAGTCATCATGCTTAAAAACTAATCATAGTTTGAAATAAAAGAATGATACACTATTCAGCAATTGGACATAATGTATTATCACCAAACATGTATGAAATTTCAAAATCTCTTCCTGCTTGGTTTGTGATGTAGAAGTTGAATCTCCATGAAATTATGATTGCGAGTGCTTAGTGACATGATTGTATGATTGTCATATTCAGAGCCTCAGAAGAGTATTTGGTGAAGCTGAGGAATTAAAAGGAATTTTAAAGGGAAAGTATCAGAAGGAATATGAACAGTTAATGGTTGAAGAGGCTAGAAAGGTGAGGAAAAAAATAACAGTTCTTTCATGTAGTTCCTCTTTATAATATTATCATTAGAATTGTCATCATTTTGTTTGGCTTGTTAAATTTATTTTGAAATTGTATTAACCCTTTAACTCCTATGAGTGACCAAGACAGAATTTCTCCTTACAATATCCGTACAATATCAACTAGATAAGTGATGAGAATAAAGAAAAATATCAACTTGGTGATAATTAGTTGATTCAATACTAAATTCGCTGAACTAACATTATAAGAATTGTATGGTTGATGGTGAGAAGAATTACAAATTTGATCTGAGAGTTAAAGGGTTAATGTAACAATCCACACAAAAGAAAAATTCATAACACTGCGACCAGTTATCAGGAGAACTAGTAACATTGTGGAAGAAAAAAAAAATACTATGGTATCAAGGGCGCATAATTACCTGTTAGTATTGTTTATGTCATATTGAACAGTTAGAATTCTTTTATATCGTGCAAATGCATTTCTTTCTGTTTAAAGAAAGAAGAGGAAGAAACCAAAAGAAAAGAGTTTGAGAAAAGGGAAGCTGAAGAAAAAGCACGAAAAGCACTGGCAGCCCAGCAAATAGCAACACAGCATAACAACACATCAAGGCCTCATACAGAGACCCCAAGTGTTACTCCAAGTGCACCACCACTGATTGAGGATTACCTTGCCCCGCCCACCTCCTATCAGGAGTCATCTGGCAGTCCAAATTCAATAGTGGGTAATAATCAGCGTGAACATGGCACCCCCAGTGACAAAAATCAAACACATAGCACAATGCCATCACCACCTAGCTACTCATCACTCTTCTCTGTACAAACACCAAGGTATGAGAAAAGGATTGTAGTGTTTTTCTTAAATTGTTCAGGCTAAAATTACCATACAATTATGTAGATATTTATGAGGCAAGATGGCTAAAGGTTGTTGTTTTTTAAAACTGTTCAGGCTTAAGTTACCACACAATTATGTAGATATTTATGAGTCAAGATGGCAAAGGGTTGTTGTGTTTTTGTAAATTGTAAGACTTAAGTTACCATCTACATGTAATTCAAATAATTTTGAAGCAAGACCAAATAGGACAGTATATGGCTTTTTTTCACAAATCTCACTTACCCTTACCAACTTAATGATTATGCAAGTAATAGTTGGTTAGATAATTTTGCATTGAATATTCCATCTGTAGTGTCCCAACAATTGACAGGTCCACCAAACCAGTCATGTCTGCAGGTTAGTTAAACTGTCTGACTACCTTTGTTCAGGAAAACCATAATTTTGGTGATAAAAATAACTCTAACTGCACTAATTCAAGGTGCCTAACATGTAGTAATCATCCAATGGCCAAGAGCTGACAATTTTGTAGCTTGCTGATTCTCTCTTGATTTGTGTTAAGATGCGTCGTCAAGTGGTCTCAGAAAAATGCATGTTCCAGCGGAACTCATCAGTCAGTTCCTACGTCTGGCATCTAACAATACAAGGAAAAACCTTGAAACCTGTGGCATTCTAGCAGGCCGACTTGTGAGTACAACTTTTCTTCAAAAGCCTTCAAGCCTGTAATTTTCAGGAACTTTGAAGGATTTCCACAAACTCCTAAGCCATGATTTATGGATATACTTTCCCATACTTCTCATAAACAGCTGCAGTTGTTCTGCTAGTCAATATTATCTGGGAGCAGGTTCTTATTGGTGCTGTGACACATTTAAGCCCAGCACCGGCTAAGACTCTTACCCAGTCATCTCTTTCAATGATGATTATGGAGTCTTTTAAGTATTTGCAATGTCTGCTGTTACTCAGCACCTTGAAAGATTAAACTCCAGTATCTCAGATTTCAAAATTTTCAATGATAACACCCTAACCTTAAATTCTGGTGAGAGACCACATCAGAATTTTTCCTTACGATTTTCATACCATATCAAGCAGACAAACGATGAGAATAAAGAAAATCAGACAATAATTAGTTGATCAAATATCAACTCCTCCAAACTAACATCATAAGAATTATGTGGAACACATTTAGGAGAATTACCAATGAGATCTTAGGAGTAAACTTGGGTTAAGCTGAACCAATCATTTGTAAAACGCTTCACCCACACCTTACCAAATAAAAGCCCTCTTGTTAGTTTTTATTATAAAGTTTATATAATTCTACTCAGTTAATGTAAAACTGTATCTTGTCTCATTTTATTTGTACAGCAAAGCAACATGTTCTGCATTACTCATTTGTTGATCCCCAAGCAAACCTCAACATCAGATTCCTGCACAACTCTGAATGAGGAGGATCTGTTTGATTATCAAGATTCTCACAATCTAATTACATTGGGTTGGATACATGTAAGTTTCCATCTAATGTAGGAGGTTACATGTACCTTCTTGCATCTCTCCTCACTTTTGTCAATAATGCAAGAAACACAGAGTTACAGAGTGGGAAGGACATGGAAGGGTTAAGGATATCCATCTTTTCATTCTGTGTTCACCCTACCCATGTCCTTTACTTTTAACTCCACCATCCTGATCTATTTTTTACAAAAGCCTGCAGATTAAACAATTAACAATTGGTTCATACATCAGCGTGCGTTCATCAAGATATGAAGCACGCGTGAAGTTTGGAGAGCATGAAAGATGTATAAGAGTTGCTTGAGGTGTAGCCAAGAGCAACTCTAGCTACTTGAGTGCTCTCCAAGCTTCCCAAGTGCTTCATATCTCGATGAAAGCACAGATGATGAATGAACCAATTGTTTTATAACATTTTCAACCCCATGGAAAATTTATTTTCTCAAGGGATTTGTTTGCTGACTTCATGAGTGTGCACAATAGGAATATGAAGCACGCTCGTGCAATTGAATTTGATTAGACAAATTTACCAGCTATGTTATAATATAGATTAGCAAAGTTCCATATTGTATGATTTCCTTCTGGCTGTCAACCCCCTTAAACAATCTTCTCTCTCTTCTGTATCACCTCCTCCCTAAGCCTCCCTTCATGTAATGAATGAATCATGAGATGACAGGTTAATTTAGGTGGAGAACTTAACTTTATATTTAATTGACTACCACAAGTACCTAATCATTTTAAAATCTGATTCATGAACCAGACACACCCATCACAGACAAGCTTCATGTCCAGTGTTGATCTTCACACCCATTGCAGTTATCAGCTTATGATGCCAGAAGCAATTGCTATTGTGTGTGCTCCGAAGTTTGATGAGTAAGTAGGGTATTATGTGTTCAAATTATGTTATCAGCCATATTGTTTACTTGGTGGTATTTTTTGTGGTACAGATTTATCCTGGTTTCAGTTTTAAGTTTCTTTTGTCTTACTCAGAATTATCCATGTAATGCTTGAACACAATTGAAAATGTATAATTTAACCAAGAATAAAATCATTTAAATGTGTGACTAATATTTCTGCAGTTGCCAAATTCCTCACCTAACAGAGGCATACTGTAATACATTTTAATTATTTAATAATGATAATGATAATAATAATAATAATGATAATAATGATAATAATAATAATAATAATAATAATAATGATAATGATAATAATAATAACAGTATCTTTTGATAGAGGGTAACAATTGACTGTAAGAGATTGAAGCATTTTGATAAAACCAAAGCCCTCAAGTAATCACAATGAGTAAGTGAGCAAGAGTGAATTTATTGAATTGCAAAATTGTCTGCTCTAAGGTTATCAATAACAGACTGCAAACTTAACACCACAATTAAATGAAAGGCCACAACTACCTCGCATGGCACATCCTGCATGTCCATGCAAGTGTGAAGCTTGCAGTGTTGCTCTTTTCTGTTATAAACCAGCTCTTAAGTGACAAAAGTCTCATTGTTATATAATTGGCTAATACATTTTGTAACAAAATGTTTCCCCTACACAGTTATACAGTGCTATTCAATTTCTGGTTCACTAATGCATGTGCTGTGCATTTTCCAGGACTGGTGTGTTTTCTCTCACCCCAGATTATGGTCTTCAATTTATTTTGAATTGTAAAAAGCCAGGATTTCACCCACATCCCAAAGAGCCTCCTCTATACGAGGTAAGAAATATTCCTGAGTACGAGGTGAAACTGAGCTTGTGTACAAGTCATGCCAACCCAAAGTTACTCTACCACCTGTCCATTTTCACCAACATCACCCCAAGTTACTTAAGATGCTGTAGGATTTTAATAGACTGTTATGAAAGACAATGTTAGGGTACTGGGCTGGGTTGTTCTATGCATGATTAACATAACCCGCTGCAAATTTTTAATTCAGTTTAATGGCCTTGCAAAGGTATTATTCCTTTTTTCTTTTGTTTCCTTTTAGTTCTAAGTCATATTGAAATAAAACCCAACAAAACCTTAGCTTTTAAACATGTCCATATACAGGAGAAATTAAAGCCATGATTAACTTTTAACCCTAGATTAAAGTTAAACCCCTTTCGAACAACCCAGCCCTGGTCTCTAAATATGACTGTCTGGTTTGTGCACTGTGTTCTAATGGGCAGGACACTTCTCCCTCACACTTCCTAACTAGTCAATCAGCATGCATAAAAAGCACCATTCACTTGAGTGGTATATACCTATAAGATTTATTTCCTACCCAGCTCATGCATGTGGTTAGGAGCTCTTTGCAGTCAAACCATTTAGTTATGCAGAGGTTCCCAGTACTTCCCAATGTTTCAGTCATTAATACAAACTGTTTTACTTTTAGGAGAGTTCACATATATTATGGGACAAGGTTGCAAGAGTGGATGTTGTTGACTTAAGATTTAAAAAATAGAAAGATATCAGCTTAAACTTGCCACTGAAACTATAATTTTCAATTGCCAAACAAACTGTCAAAATGTAACAAAGTATAAAGGTAACATAGTGGAAGAGAAAATTTCAGTTTAGAACACAAACCAGTAGTTAACCACTATGAGCAAAGTGGAGGTGGCTAATGGTGGTTTATACAGTGAGGTAGTTCCTGTTTACTAGCCACCAATACTGAGGGAATAGTTGTTTTAGTGTTTATTAAAACAGTGATATAGTATGGCACAAAAAGGCGATTTTCACTCCCTTAGTACTGCTGCAATTACAATATTTTTGGGTGCAAGTCTCTGGTGAGTTGCTTAGAGTTGAGTAGTAACGGATATTCAGAGTTTGAGTGGCCAATTACAGCATGCCTTCAAGGTTATCTACTGTTTTAGTATACTACATAACATCTTTATCAAATGCAGTACTTCCATATTTTATTTCAGCATTGTACAATGAAATGATGCTTAAAGAACAAGGGGGAGATTAACATTAAAATGAGACTTATTACATAGGTTATCACACCATTTCTATGCTTAACTATGAATGAACACACTCAAACAAAGAAACTGATTTCATCAATACTTTTAATAGTTTTCAAATTCTTATTTGCACTTGAATGCTAACACTTATAAATCTGTTTAAACTACTTCTAAACTTGTTTCAAAGTGCACAATGAACTTATTTTATTACTATAACTTTCAATAAATAGTAATGTAAAAATTGGAAATTGTGTCTGCAAAAAGTGTCAAGGTCCTTTAAGTAAACATTTTGACCTGAATGTATTTAAAGTTCACACTGAGTTAGGAAAAATTAATAACCTTTAAGGTTTTAGTAAATCAATTTGATGTATGTACATTCATGTATCAATTATATAATTATTAATTCAATTGAAATAAATAAATTCTTAGGCATGGTAGCCCACAGAATAAGTGATTTGTTGCCTTAGTTAGTAATTCAAGGGACAAAAGCACCAGGCAAGCAAGAAGTACAAATGTGATTTACATGCAAGAGGGAGAGTGAGAAAAAGAGAGATAGATGCAAGTTTTCTTAACACCCATCCTCTCCCAAGTGGCTCTTTCTCTCTCTTGGTTGCCTTGTGCTAACCTCTGCTCACCTGAAAAGGTCAAAAAAAGTTGCCTGTTCCGTAGGTGAAAGGCATTGTGACCTTGAAAGTAATTATTCAAATTAAGATATCTGCTACTATCTAAATAAGTCTCAAAGAGGATTACACCTTCCTTATGACTACTTTTAACTTCTCTGCAAACAATGGTCTGTCAATGAACTTAAGTCTGAAGAATTTGACAACATAAGAGGTCAAATAATTTGGAAAAATTAAAGGTTTACCAATTTTGACAAATAAAAAGCAATCTGAAAAAAATTGTTTTTTAACAAAACCAGATAGTTTTTCCCCAAGACTTTTGTGCCATATCAATTAAAATAACAGGATTAAAAAGATGATAGCAACAACCAAAAATATGTCCCCATTATCCAAAAATTTATTTGAGATTACAATGAATTAGCTAACAGAAGAAAATTATTTGCATGCTTATCATCAGTCAAAAACTGTAATTTTGCAGTGTATCCTCAAGTTACAAACCTGTGCATATGACGTCAAACCTGCAATAGTTTATTCAAGGTTTAACTATGTAGGTATCTGTATTGTCAACAAACAAACAAACAGTCTGGAAACAAATACAGTTCATGGCTACAAAATAATGTGTTTTTTTTGTTTGTTCATAAATTGTGTAGAATAACTCCTCAAATGCGTTTTTCTAGAAGACATCCACACTACTCCCATGAGGTGTTCATTGATTTCCACCCAGCCCCAACCCTCAGGAATTTCATTTGAGCCTCGCAATGCTCTAGCTTCAGAGCAGCTTCCTCTTTCCCAATTGTAATTTTAAATGTCTAAACTGGGTGAGTATGGCCAACTCCCTGAATCACACAATGAGGAACCAAATAATGTATTCCACACATGATCATTCACTGAGGAAGATTCAATAGTTTAGTCTCCTTTTTAAGGATTTGCTATGCAGGAAAGAAAGTTGGTCAATGTCTGTAGTGTCTGTTAAAGCTATTTTAGGGTAGCATGCAATTAACATTAAATTTCCTTGTCCAAGAATTGTGAATCACCATCTTCAATGCTATTGTTACCAGACATGTTGACAGAGCTAGGATTAAGAGGAGCACAGAAGTGAGCCAGGAAAGACAGGAGTTATAGAATTAGTTAGCAAGTAAATAATAAGAATTATTCTAAATAACTTCAATATTTGCAAGACATGGGAGAAAATAAGTTAACTCGGAGACTTTGTCAACAGCATGCAGTTACTTAGTATACTTACATGTCAAAGTTAATTTGCAAAGAGGGTTGGTTACAAGAACTATATTATGATACAGCTATTGATGAGCAAGTGACACTGGGGAACAGTTCTCTCTTTGGGTTTCTCTCTTGTTTAGTGTAATTAGTTCTAGAATCTTTTCCACAAAGTTCTTTTTGTAGGAATCACCATTAAAAGTATGAACCCTCAGGAGTTGCTTCCTACAAAATGTCATTCATTCTACAAAATTTTATTGCAGGAAAAAACAATACACTAACAAAACATCTTTACCAGCCTTAAAATGATTCAATGACTTTGTGTATGTTACAAGTGGGAGAGCAAATTGAAGAATCTTATGTGAAAAAACATTCTGATGCCCCTCTACTGTTATTAATATCTAACAAAACACTTTCTTGTAAAACATTCCAAAAGGGTATGAATTCCCCCCCCCCCCCCTCAAAAAAAAAAGATGCATTAACATAATAGAATTGAAGGTACCTTTTTACCAAAACTACAATTATAATAACTATAATTATATGTTGTGAGTTATTAGACCTTGTGTGAATAAAAGTGTTATGAAATTAAGATACATTACAGTTAGAGAGAAAATCTTGCACATAAATGTATGCAGCTCTGTCTTTTGAAAGAGAGGCAGTTTCAGGTTTGAGCTTAAAGCATGAAATTAGCAAAACAAAGTTAATGAATTAACTACTTTCTCTTAGAAAAGGTGTTAATTAGAAAAAGGTTGGAGCAATTGGTTAGTTCTTTAGATTGTTGTTAGCTTTTGCTGTTAACATCAAAACAAACTGATCACAGACACAAATTTCTTTTAAAATTACAACCAACAACATTAAATATTGCATGTATGTTGGCAAAATGTTTATTACATGGCCATAATTAGAATGTTTAAACAAGTGCAAAATTAATATTATTGTCTAATATGCATGTGTCGCTATGATAGTGTATTTTTGCAACCTTGACTTTTCTCATTATTTCTTATTTATATTACTTCAATCAATCAATATTTCTCATTTCCATCTGATAACATCTTTTGAACTTCAATTTGAAATAACTTTAGGAGCTTTTCTAATACAGCTGACAAGATATAAATTTTGCATATGCTGAAACCAATAACCAATACTCCAAAAGGATAAATTTTATGAGCATGCATTTTTACACTCAGTTTGCCACATTCCTATAATAATAATAAAGTTAACTGACATGGCATTAGGAATAGCCACTCTCTAAATTCATGAAATGGCAAAACATTTGTAACAAATCTACTGTGACATTCTATGTTTTAGAATCTAACTCAGCAGATTATGTGTTTTAGCTTCAACTCTACTTTGAAAAAAAAAACAAATTTAGTTTTACCTTATCATTACCACAGAGCTTTAAGAAATTAAATACATTCTAAATGACAGTTTAACTTTTGTTGTAAATGACTGGTACTCAGAAAACCAGGAAATTCTATGTACACACAATGTAGATGAAATTACAAAAACGTTTTCATGGGATAAACATGAAAACTGTTTGTTCCATCTTGACAAAATATTACCAAGAATAAAATAATGAGTATTTCATTTTTTTTTCCATTTCTGATAGAAATAATGACAAAAAGGTTCTTGAGTCAAATCAACCTTCCTTAAAATTTCAAAAAGTTTTTTTCTCCCTTGAAGTTCTTGTTCAGCCTATCAGTTTATCTCAAGTCTTCTAACTTTGATACACAGGCAGAGCAAACAGAATAACTGATTAATGAATAAAGACAGTCAGTTTCCAACAAAACTGTGGTGCTGCATTGGTGGGAGAGTATAACTAGATAATTTGGGTTCCATCAACTGAGTTGATAATGAAAATTGGCCACGGTAAAGAGTTCCAAAGCTTATGTTGTTTTGGGCATTAGCCCTTCATCAGAACAAATAACTGATTGCAAGCATTTTTTCAACAGTAACCAATCAAATAGTATAAACAACCACATACTTTTGTGGAAACTGGATAATTTGAATCATTGTAATAGTTACCTCCTCAACTTGAATTGCAAAAGCTAATTGACTCATGAACTTTTTGACAGCAAAAAGGTTTGAATCTCAACCCTTATAAATTGCCATAACATAACTTTCTCGAACATTCCTCCCCTTGTAACCACTGGACAAATCTAAATCCCCCAGGGAACTACAGCGCTTCATCTGCAACATGATAGATTCAACAGACCTGCCGGAGCCACGAGGCTTTTCTCGCAATTTACTCTCCAACTTTGATCCCCGCAGAACGTTCACATACATCTTGTATCTTTTGTACTAGGGAAAGAAATAAATTTTAAATTCTTTGTGGTAAGTCTGAGATCATTACAAACCAAACATTTCTCAAGAAAGTGCATCATTTACCTCATAATCCAAGAATTCATGTTTTTCTTGCCACTCCTGCAAGAAAAAACAATCATGTTTACAACTAGTGCAAAATTATTACAGAAAATAAGAATCATGCCTACTGGTAGCCATGATTTGAAATGAGTTTAAGAATATAAGCCAAGCCCCCCTTCCCCCACTCCCCCCTCCCCCACTCCCCCCTCCCTGATTAAGTGCTACCCTAAAATAAAGGCCAGCTGTTAAGCCTATATCAGAAATAAGGGGTCCTAAGTACAAAATGGAGGATCTATGATAAAACACTTTTTCTGCAAAATCATTAATTCAGAGTATAATCTGGAAAAGGTTTGTACCTCAAACTCTCTGCCAGTTACATTCTGTGGCTTGCTTTGTAAACTTTCAATCAACTGTCCTTCTGCCTCTTTACTCTGGAATCAACGATTACATTCAGCAAAACACACAAATAATAATTCATCACATGGTGATGCTAACTGTACAATGTCTATTACAGCAATATGAACCAACATGTTATCTTTGCACGCAGACTCTTCCTCGTCACGTATAGAAATAAAACCAAAACTCATTGTCCAGAGATTCTCATCCATATTCATTTAACATTTCTGTCAAACTATGTGAAACACATGGAACAATCTCAGATGTACCAGTTGATGAGTGCTGAGCCTTTCATAGTACTATTTACCTCCAAACCTTAAGTGTACATTAGCCAGCACATTGCATTAACTTTTTAAAATTCCTCAAGAAAATGGCGATAAAACACTCCCATGATATGATTAACAATTGGTTTATATGTCAGCATGTGTTTGTCAAGATATGAAGCATGCGGGAAGTTTGGAGAGCACAAAAGATGCATAAGAGTTGCTCAAGGCATAGCTGAGAGCAACTATAGCTTCTTGAGTGCTCTCCAAACTTCCCAAATGCTTCATATCTCAATAAATGCACAGCTAATGCATGAACCAATTGTTTTATAACATTTTCAACCCGATGGAAATTTTTTTTCTTGAGGGATTTGTTTGCTGACGTCATGCACAATAGGAATATGAAGCATGCTCATGCAATTGAATTTGATTAGACAAATTTACTAGCTATGTTATTATAATGAATCATATCATGCTTACCTTTGTCTCATGGTGTTCTAACTGCTTCATCTGTTAATTTCAAGAAGAAAACACTTTAGATAAAATTTGTCTTATCTGACTTCTTCTCTCTGTATTTAAAGTTCAAATTCAATCATTACTTTTAATTATTGTTTTATAAAAGCATGGTAGATGCAACTTACAAGAGAGAGCTGAGTGCAGGAGAAAGGAAGGACAGGTCGCTGAAATCTTTTGCTGAAAAAAATTTCCAGTGAGATACATCATCAATCTGATTGATTTGTGATAAATTGTCAAGAATCAACATCTACAAATGTTGCTATATGTGCATCACACTTGCACTAGCATTTTGCATTGCAATGAAGCTGTGCACTTTAAACACACAATCTGGTTCTCTTCAGTATGAAGGTAATCCTCTTTTCAAAAAAACATAATTCTCTATCAAAGAATGCCATGGAGGTTCATGACCACAGTTATGATATAAATAATAATGAATTGCACTTTTAACTATGCAGCAATATATTGAACTTTTAATTTTGCTGCAAACTTCTGTTACAAACCTTGGTAGCACAGGTACTGTTATTTTAGGTAAACAGTATTAGCAGTGAAAGTAATTTTAGTACTGGAAGAAATGCCAGAAATGAAAACAATGAATGACTCTGAAAACCCCCCCACGACTTCTGATATACAGCTGGATTCTCCCTCTATGTTTTTTTGTCTTTCTTTAGGAAACAAAAGGAGAACTTGACGTTGCATCAAAAGTCATTTAAGGGTAACTTTAATGCCATGCACCCCATTCTATTGAGATTACGTTGTGTAATTGAAAAGTTACAATGCAAGAGAAAGACTACACTTAGCAGTTTCAGAGCAATTAAGATGTTGCTTTACCATGAACCAACAGGTGCTGGTAAGGGTGGAGCAGAAAATGTGGCAGCCACTAGGTTAATGGCATCAATCCACTCATTCATATCACGAAAATTCCTACAAAAATACAAAAGGAAAGATAAATAAGATGGCTTATGAGAAAAAAGGAGTTATAAGTGCTTAATTCTTCCCAAATTCCTCATCTACATGGCCATTTAAAATCACAAAATGGTTTCAAGAAATACAGTTTTAGCCATCTAAAAACCAAATGTGTATGGAGATTCAGGTGACACATAGAGGTTCACTGCAGCTTGTTTAATGGGTATGTTTAGGATTTTAACATTTTCATGAACACATAAAAATTTCATAACTCACAGGATTTCCAATGTTAGGATGAACTGGAGTGTATAATAATATGAAAGTTAGCTTTCTTTATCAGAGAAGTGTCCTATATCTGAGTACATTGTGGTGTATATGAATCCAATAAAGTATTATGAGAATAATTATGAAAAGACTAACATACTTTGCTTGAAAAAGGAATTCTCTCCAATCGGAAGTGACAAATCTAAATACAAAAGGCCTTTTGATATAATCTGTAGCTCGACTGGCCAAAGAGTGGTGTACACCTAAACAGTTTCTAGTATGCTCTGGCCCAGTTACCTCATCTGACTGAAATAAACAGAAGGAACAATTCATTTTTTCAAATGGTTGATTTTACCAGTTGTAAATATTTCAGTGAATTAAAAGACAAGATTGCCTTAAAATTGACCTGACTTGCCTTGTGGAGGAAGAGGATCATTCCTTTGAGGGTTGCAAAAAAAGGCATCCATTTTCTTTTCCAAGCAGAAGCTGAAAGAGGTTATAAGACTTCAATTGACATTGTACTTTATTACAAATACAGGGCTCCAAACACAACCTCATTCAACGTTAATACCTGGTGACCAAAAAACTTTAAAATGGTCACCAGATGTAAAATTTTGGACAACAAGGGAAAATGATATCTTGTACAATACTACATATATATATATATATATGATTTAAAAAACTGATGACAGCCTTACCGTTTTTATTTGTGTATAAGTTAAACTTGTGTACAAGTCAACCCCATTTTCAAGGTCAAAAATCGGATTTTTCATCATTTCTAGTCAAAGAAGTAAAATTCAGACAAATAGAAATTTCCCAAAAAGTTAATCTCCTATTTCCACACCGCACCAAAGCTGTATGAAAAAATGTCTGCTCTACAGTCCAAAGACACAATAGAAATCAGCTCCAGCAGCTTTGTGTTAAGCCACTTGAATTTTATTATTTCAAACTTTTTTGTTGACAAAGAGTGTGCTGAAAAGTGACAAAACTTGAACACAATTAGAACTGGTATTATAAACTTGGTTTTCCAAACAGACTTCAGGCAATTGTTATGCTAATTTCTTGGATTGCTTGGGTCAGGTCTTTGTGCATGACTCGTGTATAAGTTGAGGATGTTTTTTTGGGCTGGTTTTTAGGTCGTATAAGGTCAACTCATACACAAGTAAATACGGTATCTACCAGGCGTTTCATCCAGAAAAACTCTTGTCAAACCATACAGTGTGTCCTTGCAATTTTACCCCTTAACAGCAGGTGGAACAAGTCGGCTAACTCAACAAGCTTGGCCTTCCAGCCATTCAGTTATCAGACAAGGATGAAGACTGTATGAATGTCATCTCTGAAGACAACTCACAAGCACACACATAGCAATGATCATTTTACAATGGTTTCTTGACTGAGCTGCCCATCATTATTATCTCTTCAGGAGTTTTGTTTATGAGACTCATCCTTACTGAAACATTTTACAGATTTCCAGTTTATTGTTCAAAATTTTAAATGGTTTAATTTTTCTGTGATCACCTGTGTGTTGTGATGACACAAAAATTGAAAGGTTATTAAAATAAGGAAGGGCATTGGTTACGCCTCATTTAGATTAAAATTTGACACCTAAAAATTACTCAGTAGTGTGTGATCAAATTCTTGGGCTTAGTCTGTGTCCCTACTTTTCGAGCATCTCACTTATACAGCTTCCAAGGTGCATCACTGATTTTTTTATTTTACTTGCATGACAGACTTCAAAAAGTTGGGACTGCCCATAGTCTAAATTTCTACAGAGTGATTTGTACTTTCATGACATACAGTGTACATAGTAATACCACATCATTTGTTTAGCCTACAGAGGGTATCAGTGCAGTAACTTGCTCAAATGGCAACCAATTTATATAAATGCTTTACACTGTTGTGTACGTAATCACAACTGGTACATTCAACTCACTTTTCTTTCCTTCAGAGCTCATGGTGACTTTCCTGTACAAGAGTCCTTCTTTGTATACCTTATCAGAGTCACTACCTCGAATCTAAGACACAACAAAATAATACTTGTCTAAGCCATACACAGGAAAAAAGCATAACCCTGTATAAATGCACTATTTTGACCATGGATACCTGAAGAGGTACCAAAGAATCTGGGATGTGCATAAACATAGAGCAGCACCGGGAATGGAACAGTTGCATGCAGAGGTATATTGAAGAGATAATGAACTAAGTTGAAGACAGCTGATGCAGGGCATGAAATTAATTTTTTTTCTGATAGCCACTTGGCTCCTAAATTCTTCAAAGTGGTAGCCAAGAGAAAAAAAGTTGGTCGCCATTTTTAAAGACAAACAAAACCTTCTTTTAAGCCGTCAGCATTCTAGATAGACCCTCCAAAATTAAGTTTGGGAAAAGATCTTTAACGTGCTACAAAATGGACACTAGGATGGACGATATACAACATTAAAGCTCACTTAATTCCATGATGGCGTCTAATTATCGATTGCGATGCATCTGTTGCGTTTTGGAAACAAACTTAACGAGGAAGTTTGTGACGGATTTATCTTTGCAAATCTTTATAATTCACTATATCTCTTGGTAAGGTTATGATGAAACATTCTAGTCGCCAATTTGGCGACTAATTTCCAGGATTTGGTTGCCAAAGTGAAAAAGTTAGTTGCATTGGCACCTGTATTAGGCGCAATTTCACACCCTGTGATGGTCTAAGAAGGGCTTCAGAGGGTAAAGGCAAATAGAGGGCAAGACCCCAGCCAAAGAGAAGGGATAGTAGTAAAGTTCATACCTCTACAAAAGGATTTCCAGGGGTTCCCTAGGACAACAACAAACAGTATTAGGACATTGGATAAACAACAAAAAATTCTACATATGGTGACTGTGAAATGGGAAGTGGGGTGTTTAAAGGATTGTAGACATTGCTCTAAAATGTCTTCTAGACAGGAAATTACATTTCTGACATCAAAGGATACTCTTGTCAATCCCTAGAAAAACTAAGGCCTCAAATTTAAGTCACAGAAAACATAAAATAAAGAAAAAAAAATGGAGAGGGACATCAAACCCGAGCAAAAGACACTGATTTATAATAATAACTTAAGAAAGCAGTAAAAGGATTTACTTCATGTACTTACATGCACACAACTGTATTCAGTGAATGGTTGGACCCAGCAACAACAGTTCATGATACAGTAAGAATAGAAGTGGTAAGTTTCTAAAGAAACTGTTAATAGTGCTGCTCCAATGGGGAGTATTACACAATGGTTTGGTTTTACCACCCAAGTTGATATCGTGAAGTGGGCATCACAAAGAGATTATAGCTGATGTTTCATGCATAAGCCCTTCCTCAGTGCTAATACTTTGTGGAGTCTGATTGTCTGGGTGATAGAAGTTTCTCTATTGTCCCTGTCACCAACAGGAGTTCTTTTCACAAATACCCTGACCTGCCCAATCAGACGTACTTCATTTACAAGCTGTACAAGAGACCAAAAAGTGTGCCCTTCTGACGAATTTTACTTCACTTCAGATTATCATAATTGTATTCGGATCAATATCAGCATCTGGGCAACTGCCTACCTACCCTTCCCCTAACCCAACATTAACCTTAACTTGTTGTCAATTGACTGTTGTTGAGTTAGGGGAGGGGTAGGTGGGCAGTTGCCCAGATACTGATATTGATCCTTGGATCCTTCCCACTACCTTTATTCCATTTGGTGTTGGAGTTCTCTTGCCTGGACTTGATGCAGGAATCCTTTCAAAACTGAGATGAGCATGAAAAAAATTAATCAAAAGAGAAAAAAGCACTCCACTGCAAATTAAGCCACAACAAGGTATCAGTTTGATATCATTTATTGACTTTTTTTGTGATAACATCTTTATGAAAACTGCTAGGGTAAACTCAACAAAACAGATATAAGACTTAAGTTACCGTATAATAAATAAAGTTGCTAATTGGTATATGTCTGTTGAGTAATAAATAATATCATAGATGACATTTCGAAGACTGCTAGCCAAGGACACTATCAGCTAACATACCGGCTAGCAAGAAAGGAGAGGGGGGTGGAGAGGGGGGTGGAGAAGGGGGGTGGAGAAAGGGGGAGGAGAAGGGGGTGTAGAAGGGGGGTGTAGAAGGGGGGTGTAGAAGGGGGGTGCAGGAGGGAGTGCAGAAGGGGGTGAATCATACTTTTTCTTCTTTTATCCCATGCTCACAACAATTCAAATTAAAATCTTTCTCTATGTCATTCCCAAGCTCAAAATTTACCATCTTTCTGACTCTGTTTATGATGTAGATGTTATGGTTTAAAACAAATTTCAGGTCAAAAATTTAATGATCTTCAGCTGGTTTAAATTATTATTCCCTTCCTTCCAGAAACATTACATAATCCTTCCACAAAGAAAAATAACAAGTCAAACTGGGTGGAATATATATTAAACTGAATCATTACAGCAACACATAATACAAGTGAAAGAGTAAGAGAGTTCTTACCCGAAACCCTCCAATGGTTTAGCTTTGATTTCTTGGTATATCGCCTGAAGGAAAAATTTTAACATTATCAGAGATAAATTTATGTCTTATTTTCCATACTAACAATAAAACTTAACCACTACAGTTAACCATAAAGGAGAAAATTAAAGCAATTTACAAAATATGGTTGACATGCAAAATAAGTTTAATATAAAAATAAAAAAAATTAATACCTTCAGTAAATCTTTAGGAAAGTCTTTTCCATCACAGAGGTCTGACAAATTTTCTATAAACTGTGCTTGTGTCATCTTCTTATGAAGGGTCTGTGGCAAGGAAAAATGTTGATAAAAATCACCAAAATATAGCCAATATTTAGTAAATTTTACTGTTATTGTAAATAATACATGTACTTGACTGAACCTTTTCACTTCAAAGATCTCATCACTAATTCTACTTACTGTTTGCCATACAATTCTTATGATGTGAGTTTGGAGAATTTAGTATTGGATCAACTAACAATCCCTTAGTTGAAATTTTTTTAAAATCCTATCGATTTTCTGCTTGAAATTGTATTGATATTGTAAGGAGAAATTCTCTTGGTTACTCATGGGAGTTTAATAGTTAATCAACTGAAACAAGCATCCTAACAGCTTACCTCACCATGAAGATCAGAATTTAGCAAAAAGATGGCACAGACTAAAGTGTGAGTTGCATCTGAAATCAATGAAACAGAGAAACAGAAAAACAGTCAAAACAGATTTGTGTCCCTGAATAGGGATTTAAGTTGTCAAGTTGAATAACTATTGTACATTTTAATATTTTTTTGGTGTTATGCTGTAATATATGAAATATGAAAAATATTGTTAAAGAGAGCTTTAATGCACGTAATGTAAGTTTTGCAAACAAATTAAGACTAGAAGATGGAAAAAAAACTACTGAAAATGATATTGAAATACCTAATGGAATTTCAATAATTATTTTTATTAGAGACTTTAACAGCTGTACATGTATATGATGTATGCTCCATTTGCCACCCTTGAACTATAGCTGGAAAAAATGTTACTTTATCTTAGTTTAAAACCATGGAGCCCAGCAAAACAAATTTACAAGGCTGCTGCAATGACGCCATTATATTTATTCTGCCAAGTTTAATAGACTGGCCATCTCCTTTCAAGATTTTATCAGTAAGCTACTCATTAAATACAACCTTGAAACCTTGTCTTAATTAAATGTTTTATTGAGAAGTACTCCTGCCTCCTCAAAGTCAATATACCGTGTAATGTATTATAAGTAATTGTATATTCAGCAAGTAATGTAAGTAATTGTATTACTAGAAGTGTAAGTGGCCCATATTGCAATTAATTGTATGTTTTGTAACGATATTCAACTTACTGTATTGCTAGCATGAGTAACCTACATTGTAAGTATTGTAAGTATTGTTCTGTAAGTAGAGTAGTGTAATGAGTCTTGCATTGTTAGAATTGTGTTTTGTAATAAAAGCAAAGGTTTAAAAAAAACGAAAAAACAAAACAAAAAGAAAAAAAACAAACAAAAAGACTGCTGCAAAGTCTTTGTTCAACCTTAGATAAATAATATTAAGTCTCACTTCATTTGAATTAGTATGACCTGTCGTTGACTGTGACACTCTCTGTCCTACCTTCTGATCCATACTCGGGATTGTTACACTCTTGATATCTCTTGGAAAAAGGTATTAAAATTCTCTCCCTCTCTTGCGTTTCTCCACTCAAATGGAAAGCCATAAGGAACTTCTGAAGAGCCTCTGTGATAGTCTCATTTTGAAAATCAAAGAATTTGAGATATTCAATAGCCACTGCTTTTCCATAGGTTGTGCTGAAATAAAAAAAGTGCAATTAATTTAGTTAATAGAATAACAAAGATGGTAAATATTGAGCTCAGTAGTAGAATAACAAAACATTTAGTTTCTGCCTTATAATAAGCACCAGATGAAGAAAAAGACAATATGAATCTCCATGAGGAATCAAACAGCACTTTGTCCCACCCTCATGGAACTTCTGAGATTCAATTTCTTGTGGGGATTTAAATTATTTCTTTTTCCCAAGCTCAAACTTGATAGAACAAATTACACCTTTCATAAATTTGAAGTTGCATTTTAGGAAAGCAAACTGTTGGTGGTCAACAGTACATTTCCCAGTGAATTTCTTTCATGGAGTTTTGGAAAGTTTGCCGCAAACAACACCCCTTGAAAAAATTAAAATGCTCTTCTGAGCCACATCTAGAACTGCATGCACTAGGCATATTGCAAGCATATGCAGGGTATTACATTAAGTATTAAGTGCTTCTTAGCTCAGAATAGAATGCCTTTCCCATTCCTAGTTAATCTCCACAAGCCCTCATTCCATGCACCCATCAATGCTAATCATGCAAATAAAAGGAAACTTGATGGTAAGATAGGTTAGGGAAAGGTTCAAAAAAAAAAATTCTCCCAAACCATTCAGGAATCATCCATGAAATTGCTATGCCCCACATGCATACATGCAGTGCTGAGATTAACTGCTACCTCATGGACCTGAACTTTGTTCACTTGTCATCTCCCAACATTAAGAATGTAAAATCACAACAGACGCTCACTTTTCCACTTACTTTTTACTGAGTTCTGGAGTAACCTCTTCTCTACTGAATCCATCTAAATTAAACAGTCTTTGTGCTAAAGCTGATGGACTCTCGTAAAGTGGGTCATTGTATTGTCTACCAGCAGAATCAGGGCCTGGCAAGTTCTCAAACATTCCCTTTTCGTTTTTAAGACCTCCATTAAGTACTCTTTTAGAATCACTTGAAGCAGTTTTACTATTAGCTGATGTAATTCCTTTCTCGCCAAGTGACGGACCAGGTTTGTAATTCACATTTCCATTGAGTTTAGTTGGTGACTGATTGTGTTTAGTTGACAATCCAAATGGAGAAGGTTCTAGCGTTTTATGATTTGAGTACGGGGTTCCTGGAAGGCTTCTTCCACCAGAAGAATAATTCCTGACATGCCCACATTTTCTACATGTTAAATATTTTGATGCCTGAGATGATTCCATGGAATATTTGTATTCTATGTCTTTAGAATAATCAACTGGTTGTCCACAATTAATGCAACTTTCTGGTAAAGATTCCCAACTAGTTCTGTGTTCCTCATTGGGATAACTCTGTCGTTTAAAGTTTTCAGGCCGATTAATTTTATCTGTTCTACTTGAAGGGACATTAACACGCACAGGAAAGTCAGTGATTACTCTTTCTACCACATCATCTTTTCTTCGAACAAATATACCATCAACGCCCTGCTCCAATCCTATAAGACTCATACGACCCACAGCTCGGACATCTTCTGTACTTGTGCTAGTCCCCTTCTGCATGTTTTTGTCTTCTTTCTTTGCGATTGCTCTTCGAGGGAGTTGATCAGTGTGAGAGCGGTTACGATGATTTGGTGCTGAAGCAGATCTCTTCAGCCTTGCTTGGCAAATGGCTAGTTTAGGGTCAGCAACGGAAAATGATCTGAGATATGGACGTGCACGCTCCCTAGTCCCAGGGTCTGTTGAGGTAAAAAGTTGAGACCAATGATTAACATTGCCACCTATTTTTGTATTAGCTTCTACAACAAGATGTCAGTTGGAATAAATAAAACCTAGCATTATAAGAAAGCAATCTAATATCCTATTGGAGAGTAAGACTAAGAAATTCATAAAACAAAGTGCAGACCTTGTCTGTCTCTCTGACAATTGTTCTAAGTTATACAGTCTTCCAACTCTGACTAAGGGACATATCAAACCATTCCAATGCAAAGAGTCCTGATGGTTGTAGTTTAATCATTTTTAAGTATATCTGTTTATTTAAACAAGCATTCACACATAATGTGGCTTATAACTTACAGGAAATGCCTTTGTTTTCCAATACAGTCAAGTGATCAGACATGCAATACAAGAACTGTAATTTTTAACCCCATAATACACTATAAAATACTTTTCAAAAAGAAAAAGGAACCTACAACAACACTGTCTCAAAAGAGAAGTATCCAAGTGACTGGATAATCATTCAAAGGAAGACACTCTGGACATTTTCAGTAACACTCATCTTTTGAAAACAACATTCATACACAGTATGTCTTAAAGGTTATAATCATAATTAATATAGAATTCACATTTACATGGTGTATATGATTTAACACTGAGAAGATTTGCATGCCTTCAAGATTATTGATAATTCATCTACAAAAAAATATATTACAAATTAAACTAAATCCACATCATTCTGACCCATGAATAATTTCAAACTTAAGGTTAATATTTTTTTTCAAAGAATTTCAATGAATCATCTGGAACAAAATATTATTTTAAATTACTTTGCCTTTATCACACTGAAACTACACAACACATACTTTAAGTCTATGACTCAAACCACCCCTTAGTGGTAAATTAAGAGGATAAGGAACAAAGAAAGTGATGCTTCAGCAAATGGGTGTACTGGCATGTTATTGCTTCCTTATTCTTCCATGTTCCAATCAACACATTATATTCCTCTCCACAGTACACCAATATGACGTATATGTGGTAGATGACATATCAGAATATTTTTGAGACACTGCTTTCGATTACCACTAACAATCACAAAATCTGAAGCAAAATTTACATATTAGCCAGACAAAATTTTCCTGATTTCAAGCATTCAAACTACTGGCACTAGTTCATATACATTATGAGTTAACACTTCACACCGTCACTCAAAATCTGTAAAGAAAAGCACAATAATAACCAGTAGTTAAAAATACTGAATGCCATGGTTTAAATAAATTCAAGTACAGGGAACATTCTAGCATATAAACAATGTACTCATCAGATAACACTTCCTGTAAAAGGACTTAAACAGTTTGTCTACATTCATCATTCTATTGATTTTACAGCACCTTCATGTTCTGAACAAAATTCTTAAAATAAATTTTGTGACGATTTGAATCAGTCCTGATGGCTAATATAACTTGTACTCATGTGAGATAAGCATAGTTTGCTCTATTTAGGTACATCTAGTGCAGGATATTGTACACAACTATTTTCAGAACCCCAAAATTTTATTCAGTTTAAAAACATTCTATCGCAAGAACAGATTATGAAATCAACCAGCCAACCTGAACAGTATGCAAATTTGAAACACACATTGAGATCAAAGTCAAAAGAAAAACTGGCATATCTGTCATAAAAAGTAAACAATGAGCAGTGTTTTATTGAAATTTCAGCGTTGAATCAATTGTTATCAGCTGAAAACCTTCATAAAATGCTAAACCAAAAGAATATCAGATTAAAGTTGGATGTTCTCTCTATATGAATAAATACAAGGTTTCATATTTAAGCAGAGTATTTTGTCAAAATCATTACTGAGATACATGCATAGTATAAAATGAGGGCAGAATTTACAGTATCAATAATGCCTTAACTTTGTACTTATAATGCCTTAAAGAAATTCTTCTTGAAATCACTTTCTGTCACCTATGTTAAGCATCATTATATACACCTTCAAAGCACTGTAGGAGCTGCTGTACCATATCATAATCTTAAATCTTTAACATATGTCAAAACCTTAGCAACTGAGTCATACTCTTGAAAGATAACAACACACACTCTGGCTAATTAAAGTTAACATGTACAATAACTCAAAAAGCCAAGGGAAGCCTTTGGGTAAAATGCAACAAACACATTAACCTTGACTGAATCGTTTTTTGTACTTCTCAAGAAATTAAACTCACTCAGTGAATAACACACAGTATGATTACATTGTGTTTCATACCTACATGTATGTTGCATCTGCTCCCAAAGTAAGCTTTTACATTTCCCACAAAGCTATAAATATTGAAACTGAATTTCCGAAAGCACAAAGGAGAACAAATACAGATTTGCTCAGCTACTGAGTCATACCAACACTATCACTCGAATCAGCTTTCACCTCTCAGTTCTACTTTCTGACAATACGATTAATATTGGCACTGAACCAAACTATCACTGAAAATCAATACTGTGAAAATTACATTCTATGTTCCTGTATAAATATTGTTCTATCACCTTTAGGCTCTTACTAAGGAAAACTGAGTCACACAAAATCAAAACCATTAACTTCAGAACAAGATGTGTTCATTTGAAGTGGGAAACATGAGCTTGTTTCAGTGGTTTAGCTTTCACATTACGCATAAAAACAATGGAAAGCCTTTATCTCAACAGGTAGTTAGAAACTACCTACTCATGCAAGTTCAATTTCTCAGCATTGAATGATTAAAACTGAAACAGATATAGATTCAAACCACACGAACCTTGACATGTTTCACGGCAAAGAAGTAGTTTCCACTGAAGTGTGCAATTCTATACAATAGGATTCAAGTTTCACATTCTAAAGGTCATGACATTTCATTCTAGTACCACAGAGGATGTCTTGTGTGGGATGTGACATGCCATGGCTAACTTGGTAACTTACAAAACAAAGTGATGATTCCAAAATGAAAGTATAGTTGAATTGGTCATTTAAAATATGAAAAATGGGACTTAAGATAAAGAAATCTTAACATATTCAGAAACTAAAATAAACATAATACAAATGAAAAACAGGAAGTTCACAAGTAAGGCTCGGTTGTGACAAAAATATATCACTTCATGCTGAAAAAAACAATGTTTCAGAAAAAGAAATTTGTTTTCATATTCATACAAATGTCAAGCCTAACTTGGAAAACACCCTTTACATCCATAAATTAAAATAATAAGCAGTTTCAAAGTGTTAAATGCCCATTATTTGGGACTAACATGACGACTGAACCAAAAATCTTTCATGGTTCATAAAGGAAATAGCCCACAATGTTTGGGCATAACCTTCCTGTTGATTAAGAATGTTATTTGGCAACGCCTAACTTTTCATTTAATCAAGTGAAAGGCCACTTTTCTTTTTCACATATATAAAATAATTATCTGTTCATAAAGTGGTAAATTTTGATCTATGCACATATTTTCATTAGTTACATGCATAACCAATAAGTAGAGCAAAATACAGCATCTACTGCAGAAGGGAAGTACAATGTGTAACTTTAGGTTGTTTTGGCTCTGTGTGTATCAGTTCTGGACTTTGATAAAGAATTACTCAATAATATTTTTATTAAAATTCAACAAATCAGAATGGACAAAACCTAAAACAATATAATTCAATACTTGGTGACAAAATTATACTATGTCACCCAGAGAATTCAAAATCTTAAGGCTTAAGAAAGTGTATTTCTTAAAAAAAACAAAAAACACAACAGAAACAGTTTTAAGTGTAATAATTTAACATATACAGACATTACAATTATGTGAACATATTTTACCAAGATGGTTCTTCTGTAAAATACAAATTAATCATTCTCATACTTGATTCCCAATGAAAAAAACAAATTGAGTTATCTTATAATTGAACTACCCACAGAAATAATTGCACTGATAATAATGAACATCATTCTATTTTTTCCTGTCACCTTTTATTTATCCATATCCTTTTATTATGTTATCTTAACATGGGTCTAACACCTGATTATAAACATAACTTTTACCACCATACATGATATACAGATAAAGTGTACATGGAGAAAACATTCTCGTGGAAAGCTTTAAATGCATATAAGGGCCACTGTACACATGGATGTAGAGAAGACACACAACCAAGTGGGGCAGAGGATTACAGTATATTGATTAGACACAATTCTGTGATCGTATATCAATTTGACAAGCCAATTAAATGCCAGAGAAAAATTTGACATACCACAGCCTGTTAAAGAGGTATGCTACTAAAAGTTGTTCAATCAAAAATATAAAATTGTATTTGTTGAGTAATAAGAGAAAAAAAAAATTAGTCTCACCATCCCTTAGACGGATTCTCAAATTATCCTGTGTGTTGCGAATACTTTCTACAACTGAAGTTAAAGAAACATTTGGTTAGATTTTCACAACTTTGTCCATACAATCGGTACAAATCAAACTTTTAAAGCTTTTGGCTAAAGAAGTTAGAAAAAATATTATAAGGACTCTGATTGACCATCATCACCACAATTCACTTCTAGAAATCAGACAATTAAAGCATATAATGTAACATAATTTGCCTAGTGCTTTGCTCTTGTCACTTTCTACCATTGAACATCCATATAAATTGAATGTCACAAAACAAGGATCATTTGTAATGCAGTTGAAAGGCCATCCCGGATAACTAGCCCAGATCTACCAACTAAGCAAGAGGAGTGAAAAGTTGGGGTAAGAATCTGCATGTAGCCAAGAGTGTCACCTTGGTTTTCATTTTGCATTTAAGTCTGGGAAGAGGCAGGGCAGAAAGATAAGACAAGGAAGGAGGGAGGAGGGAGGAGGGAGGAGGGGTAGAAGTGTTGGGGGGGGGGGAGAAGGGAAAAGAAGAACAATTTTACATCACCTTGACTTGTAGTGAACTGTGTAATCTGTTGACCATTAACCTCTAAAATGACGTCTCCAGCAAAAACCTTGATTAGAATTAAATTAAATCACAATCAAACAACCAACACCATCTAATAGCACTACTATGAATTTTAAGACAAATGTGAACATATTTTATTTATTTTGGAGTTTTCAGTGATCAATTGATATTCTAAAATCATATTGGTTGGGGATACTTTGAAAAAAGTGAACTCCATGCCAATCAGATACCCACCGGTTGAGAAAAATTGATTTTTTTTTATTCAATTTGGGAAAAAAAATTATTACCTCTTAAAAAAAATTAATATTGGCAAGTAACTTTTTGGTAATAAAGAAAGTCATCCAAAAAGATAAGCTTGGAACAAGTTCAGTCCCTTTTTCCTTTCTATAGAGTAATTCACATTCAAAGTTATATAATCCACTATTAGCAAAGGGAGAATAAACAAAACACTGTCAAGACAGAAATCCCTGAATGAGCTTGGTTAGAAAGAAATCTGCTTTTATCCCACTGCTACCCCCCCTCCCATTGCTCTCTCACTGCTCTCCCCCCCCCCCTTCCTGTATCCTTGGTCCTTATAACTGCACCCCACACAATCCTCCACATCCCTAAGATTGCAGATTACAGCTGCATCAGTTTTATAGCTACTGGAGTTTTGCTATGAGTGAAAAAAAAAACTAGTTCCAAAACTCTCTGCAATTTGAAATAAAACATGTTCTGCCATATCCTTTAAGTTGACGACTTTCTATATTTTAATTTATTTCCTACAAGTTTTTGCATGCATAAGCTGTTTGTTCTGTACAAATTGAAATTATTTACATATTTAAATTTTTACTCTTTTCATAAGTGAAAAAAATATAGTAAATTTAAAACACAATTTTGGAATAGAGGGTAGTCAAGTATAACTGCTCAACAAGATTCAAAGCTTTAGGATTTATAACAAGTTTAAAGTTACTAAGCAAAGAAAATGGAAAAGGCTAAACAGCGAAAAACAGTTCTAATCTGTTGACACCATTATCACTACCAGATGATGAATACATGCAATAAAATTATTACCGCCATTCATTCAATTTAATCTTTCCAGGTTAACTCCAGGTATGCTTTCATAAAGTTGGCTTCCCACTGAATTTCATGCAAAAAATGTGAGCTCTGTCTACAAACACAATTAAGATAATTTCAGAGCTCCCTTTCAAGAGGACGGCTGTAACATTTGCCCTCTCGGCACGACAGCAATTACTCGGGGCAGCTATAGGATTTCATGCACGCCCTGTAGTCTGAAATTTAATGAAACGAACCAACATCTTCTAATCTCCTAAATCCGCTCTTTCCAATACACATTCTACCGTTTCCTTTTCCTAAATTAAACAAAGCATTATTTATTGAACTAAGTTGACATGAATTGGCTGAGTTTGCACACATACAATTACAAAAGAATTGTGTACAACTTGAAGGAAAACATTTGTGAGATGTTTTTAGTTTAGGAACACAAGGTGATTTTGAACTCAGCTAACTGAACAATTCACGATTTAATATAAATAACTATCATTCGTCATTGTACATAGAGTAATATTTTGTCCAAATAATTTTCCCCCATGATCTATCATGAAACATACAATTTTATTCAGGTCCCTAATTTTCATGCATACATTCGATGGGATGGTTGTTTTATAGAAGCTACAACACTCGTGTTGCAAAAACGAAGACTACAAAAGCTAGCCAATATAGACGATCCAAGCATATGAATTGAAATAAATAGATTTACTTGTGAGTTTTGCATTATAATAGAGAAAGGCCGGGAAAGTAGATAAAAATTCGCCTGTAGATAAGTTCGCTTCGAAACGAACTTTGCCACGTTGTGTCGATATCATCGGGCCCTAGGAAAATTTCAACTCAGGTATAATCTTTCAAATACACGAATTTCTTAGATCAAAAAACAATCACTTTTGTAAATTATGATTTAACAATAAATTAACTGTCTTATTCCGTCTAGAAATCCGTAACAAAGCTGACATAACTAACCATATCTCACCTTCCCTGTTAGTTGTGCCGATCCATTGTGAACCAAAGCACAGACCATAGGTGGCAGATGCGTATCAACTCCACCGATGACACTAAAACCAAATCCACCGAGAGGATGTCTTTCTAGCTCCACATATCTATCATGAGCCATTACAAGACTCCTTCTTGCACACTCGGTAGAGTCATCTCTCGTCGGCGAGGTTGTTTCGGATTCGGAGCGTCAGAGATCACTCGCGTATTTTTCGGCTTTATTCGGAACGACAACGAGTATCAACGAACATTACCCGAATTTTCAAGGACAGTTTAATGAGCACTGTGAGGGCAATAGGTCAGAAGCAGTTATGGCCCCGAACAAGGTCTAATGGAAGGTAGCCAAAAGGACTTGAAGCAATTCATATGAAAAGATCGCCTTCGCGCTTTGTCGCTCGATCCGGTAGTTACTTCAGTAAGAAATCATCCACCATATTTCCGGAAGTGCGTCACACAAATTTCTCTCCAGACGAGTATTGCAATAAACCTCAAAATTTTCAAGCCCATGTCTCCCCATAACCACTTAATTATTAAAATCAAAGTAAACTTTATTCATTCAGGGGAGCTTTTGCGAAATACTTCTCACAAAAAGGATTAATAAGTCTAAATAAGGCGAGGAAACACAACCGGAAATTGCTTAACTTTCAAGAGAATCCGGTTTTACGTCATCACGTGACTTTCATGGGACAGTGAAGATCACACAACTTCAAATATTTGTTAGGCTCGAAATATCAATCGTCTTCGACCATGTTAGACAAAACGTTATGGGAACAATTTTTAGATGTAGTAGAACCTCATCTACCGGAATATCTCCACTGGAATGAAATATGTGTTAGTTGTGAACTGTGATGTTTACCGCCACTGTACCGATGTTACTGTCGTACTGTGCTGGTGTTACATAAGCCGGGAGAATTTATCGAAGATTATTTTTCTGAAACGGCATTTCATCGGTATTAATATATGTTCCTTGTGTTAATTTTGTGATCTATTTTATTTTTCTTCCAGTGGACGTTCGTTTTTTACCTGGCAGAGGCAAGACGCCATATTCATCGATGGTGCCGAGGAATGGAAGCATGGGAGGTAATAAGCCGATTTAAAACTTACGTAGCTGCACTTAGCGTTTTCTCCATTTTTTGAATGATTTAAAGTATGTTGTAATTCTTAGTTCTCTTGGCATGTTTTTAGGATCTGTTGTCTTGTATTTTTTATATTAATCGTTCATGAAGACTGCTCATGAACTTCAGTTTCATCACTCAAGGAACAAGTGTTACGAAGAGGGTTTACATGGCCTGTCAAAAATTCTCCTAGACTACACGTAACAGTTTATTTTCGAAGTGGTCAAAGGTCGATATTTTATACTTGTAATTGGGCAATTTTTTGCTTTGAAATTACATAATCTCTGTAACGGAGAAATCAGCAAGCTCACGTGTAATTAACTGAAAGTGCAAACGTGTCAAGTTCTGCGATTGTGTAAACAATAACATCAAATGAGATGAAATATTTTCTCGGATGTTTAGGTATGAGGGTGGCAAACTATGACCATGATTATATTGTCATATGGCTTTGTATGTGTGTTCGGCTAGTAATCCAGGGCAATAATCCCGGAATAAGATAAAGAGGAACCCGAGCAAAGATGAGTCTTAAAATGGTTCCATCTACTTTTAATTAATTCTGACAAACCAACCAACTTGTTTATTCTGTATAACAGATTGTTGTCAATACAGTGACCTACTGCTTCTTTGTTTGGCTTGCCTTGGAAATTCTACGCTGGGTGATTGGATGGGCATTCTTCAGAGAAAAAAGTTTGTATTTGATGCAATTTGTGAATTAAATATTAAGCAAGCAAACTATAATGTCAGCTGCAATGGCACTACTTAACATCGCCTAACACAGCAGTCAGACGTCTAACATGTGCAAATGCATCAATTCTGGCTAGCCGTGCAACAAGTTCCCTTCGCAAAATTTCAAAGAAATATATTCAATACAACTGCTCTCATAAAGTAAGCTAAAGAAAACTGAAACGTTGATAGCTATATGAAATTAAAAAGGAGAATAAAGTCAGGAAAGGAAAGCTTGAATCTTTTTTTGAATCAAAGCATAATCAATTACAGGTATCCTGAAGGTATGCCTTTCTATTTTGAGCTTTGCTAAAAACCTGATATGTTTTGGAAAAAACTGAGGCAGAGTGGCTTGTTTGGTTGGTTTTAACTGTCGTGAGACAAAGAAGTCAGAGAGCCTAAAAGGACACCACCTAGTCATAACAATACCAGCACATGTGTAGACATTTGATTGTGTGTTGGCCAGGGTAATTTTTACTAATTTTAAACTAATCTTTACTTTTCGCATATATAAAAACATCCCAAAACATTCTTCCAGCTATGCCCTCCAATGGTTTATACATATATAAAGAGATTCAACTCTTGAGTTTTTTTTCCTTTTTTCCGTATAAGTAATAAAAGGATGTGTTACTATAAAAATTTGAGCATTAAAAGGTGAAGATTGATTGAAAGAATTATAATAAATCCTGAGGTGTTTCCAGTCTTGAGCATACTCTAAAAGCTTGCAAAAAGTCAAGATATCACTTGCTTAATTAAAGAGCATGGTGCCATTACATGTTACTGCATTACTCTGTTTATTAACACACCCATCATTTCATAGAGGGAAATTCAAGTAAAGGCCACTTGTTTTTTTCTGCTTTTTTTCATAGGATATTCAGTCTCAATTTTTGGCAAATGTGCTTGTTACTATATTACACATTAATTAATAATGGTATCAGGACCAAGTGGAGTCCAATTTGGTTCATGACATATGAATGATTAACAAAATCAGACAACTGTGAAGCGGGAGTCCCATTGTTAATCACAAGTATGATTACTGACAGAATTCAACAACAAAAAATTTTGTTACCAATTAATTATAAACATTAAAATTTCTGAAAAACAAATATACCTGGAACAGATATCTCCAGTGGAGACAATGTCTTTACTTAAATATTCCTCCATTTTGGAAATTGCCTTGTTTTTCTTTGGATAAGTGGTTGTTGCTGTGGTTAATGTGAGCAATTCTGTGATTGGTGGATTTATCTGAGTAGACCTAATATGATTGGCTGCTTCAACTGTCCAATTACAGGTGTCTGATTACAGCCAACTGTCCAACTACAACTGTACAGAATGATTAGTCAAAAATGAAGTAGTATTAATTGTAATGGTTATGATTAACAATTTTACAGCTCCTTTCATGTGATATCCTGTGTGAAGACTTTCATGTAGCAATGCAATTCATTGCTGCAAGATAGAGAAGTTACTGCTGGTCTGAAAGGAAAGAAAGATTCTTGACTTATTTACGTTCTTGGAAAAGCACAAAATTATTCTTGTCCTCTTAATTTTTAAATTATCTTAATAATAATTTGACCCAGTGGCTAGTGTTGACATAAGATAATCTAGACAAATCAATCAGCCCATGACTCTAACAGTTCCCACAGCTTGTGTTTCACATCATATTGTTGTTAATGTCAATGTTTTTTGATGTCATTCAGGTCTGATAGAGAGAGTAAAGAAAGGATTTTTTCGAACGTTGAGAAGAATGCCATTTATAAAAGATAAGGTGAGGATACAAGTGTTTTAGATTGTCAAAATACAGTGTAAGAGGGGAAATATTTCAGAACCTCTCCACTCTCCTGGTCATGCTATACATACCTGTGTAATGAGGATTTTAAAGTCAAAACCTTTGCTGGGAACCTATCAGAACATTCACTGTAATAGAAAGAAAAGTACAAACAAGATACATGTCAGTTGACAAAATTTCCCAAGTCAAATACTTATCCTTGTCTTTGAGTGTCTGGACACAAACTTTACCATCACTTCCTTTCAAAAAGTATGGTATGTTAAAGTTGCCAGTAAATGCTAGAGACCTTCATCAATACTAAAGAAGTCCACTGCATCTATACTGTACTTTGGTATGTTAGAAAAGTTGATTTTTTCAATTCAAATTGTTTATTTGCTGTTCCACAGATAGCCAATGAAATGAATAAAACTGTGGAAGAAATGGGCAAAACAGTATTTCCTGTGAAGCCAGGAGAGACCTTTCATACAAGAGTATGTCATATGAATCTTCAAACATCTAAATGTACACACTTGTACTTTCTTCAATTGTTCTGTTTTCAATGATGTACACTGTAGTGGGTATCTTGACAGATGTGTATGTAATTTAGATTATTGTTAAACAAGAAACTTGATTGAAAGGAAATGTGGAGGAGAAGGTAGACTATTACACTTCCTTCCTTAAATGTTACCCTCTGGAAGATGACTGTTGAATCAAGGTCATTTTGCAAATTTAAGATTTTGCTCCAAATTGTGGCGCTAACTGTTCTGTGTAAGTTCATGTACTTATTTATACTTTTTTTAAATTCAATTTTAAGCTACCAGCCAAAGGAATGAAAGAGGTTTGTATTTTGAAATGAGTTTAGTAATTGTAAATGATTTTAAAACTGTTTTATACGAAATAATTTTCATCTGAATTTATGTTTGGTGTCAAGGCTAGATAATTATTACTTGTTGTGATCTGAAGTCTTCCTGGTTATGAATACTTTAAACCAGTTTTATTTTTTATTTTTTAATTTCCTTTGTTTGTATTGTAAGTTATAATTATCATGACTGTGAAGAATGTTGTGGGCTGTAGGTGGAGGGAGGGGGGGGAAGGAGTGCAGGAAGTGGTCCAAAATCCAAAACATGTTATTATTTCAAACTTGCATAGGTGTGCCTCTTTGCATGTACACTAATTTAATACTATGACCCATGCTTTTATGGTAACGAAAAGCTTTATTTTATTCCCCTGTAGAAAGATCTAATGAAGGAAATTGAAAATTACACAAAGCTTGGTAAGTGACATCTACATCACTACAACAGCAATAACCTTGGTATCTGTACTTGTAAATTTTTTTTGTTATAGTGGTTTACAAGATATACATGTATTTGCTGAATTTTTTTTGATGACAATTATTATAAGTTCTGATCTACTAATATTAAAATTTTTTTAATAGTCTCTCAAGTTTCAAACAGTGTGTCATTTTTCTCCATTAAGAGTAAGCGACACAGCTGAACCTCTACAAATCTTAATCTTGGGAAATCATTCAATATCCAGGAGGGTGTTGTGCTTATGGACTTTAATTCTTTAATTTTATCAATCCCTTACATTTTAACTTAACCATGCAATTTAGGTGAAGTGAAATGGGAGGAAGGACGTGTTTCTGGAGCAATTTATTGTGGAGGAAAAGAACTCACAGAAGTGCTAACAAAGGTAAAGAAAAAAAGTCTTATTTAGGGGCATTAACCTATTAACTTCCCTGAGTGACCAAGACAGAATTTCTCCTTACAATATCAATACAATATCAAGCAGACAAGTGATGGGAATAAATAATAATACCAATTGGGGGACTAGAAATTGATCCAATACCAAATTCCCCAACTAGCATCACAAGAACTGTATGGCAGACAGTAAGGAGAATTACTAATGAGATCTTGGGAGTTAAAGGGTTACAGAATATTGAGAGATGAATTTTATACTCGTTGAATTTTATAAAAAAGAAAAAAGGAAAAAATTCCTGTATTCTATCAGGTACGTTGTGTACATTGTGGATACCCACACATTTTTAGGCTTAGATGAGATTTTGATGGCCAGAGTTGCTAAACAGGATGAATACTCTTATGCTAAAAATTTAAACTTTTAACTGAAATTCTTGTGCTAACCTAAAGAAGATTTATTATCAGAAAAAGCATCAGCCCTCTTATGATTTGAATTATTTTACCTACAGGTCTATTCAAAATTTACTTGGGCCAATCCACTTCATGTGGATATCTTTCCTGATGGTAAGTAATCAGCTCACAATGTAACCTAACCAATCTAAGTTCAAGGTCCATACTGTAACTTATAGATCAAGTTTTCCCCTCTGAATTGTGACCCAAGCTCAGTGCTTTGAGGTACAACTCTAACTTACAGTATAGATGGAGAAAATGAGTTCAGGAAGATATTTTTTATATTTCTGGGAGGGGAAAAATTTCAATTCAAATAAAATTTTGAATTTAGCAGGCCACACAGTGAAACGTGGCCTCCTAAATTGACCAATCATAGGAAATGTACTAGCTGAGATGTTATGATAATTTTTATTCCATGGAGTGTCATTACATGTGTCATGAAAATGGCATAAGTATTTTTTTTTTTAATCCAACAGTGCGGAAGATGGAAGCAGAAGTTGTTCAGATGTGTGTCAATATGTACCATGGAGGGAAGGATGCATGTGGAACTGTAAGAAACATTCATGAAATAATACAATAAAACCCCAACTTGTCAACAGTTACATTCCCTCTACACAGCATAGGAATAACACTGCAATTTTTGCTTTAACCCTTTAACTCCTTCATCTGATAGTCAATTCTCTCCTCCAGCTACAACATATTTCCTTTTAAATTTGTTACAAGAATTTGGTGTTAGATCAAGAGAGCAACTTCTGCTCGATGTGTTTGAGTATTCTCATGACCTGTTTGCTGGATAATGTATGGATATTGCAGGGAGAAGTTAGTTGTTAATCACTTCAGGGAGTTAAAGGGTTAAGTAATAATCCTCTTTTTTAAACAGTCTAGTGTGTTCAAGAAATTTTTTAGTTTATTAATAGCTAGATTTGTTAATTATTTCATGAAATTGATGAGTCTTGCATAGAGAGCATAGATACCTGAGTGTATTGTAGGCACCAACAATCTGATCCCTTAAAGGGCATGTAAACCCAAAAAACGTTCATTTTCTTTTCACATAGATGTTTAGTAAATATATCAAGTACACCAAAGGTACCATTCGTTTATTCTCAAAAGTCCATTTTCACTTTGTAAAAGCTCTTCCAAATTCGAAACATTCGCCATCTTGAATGGCGCCATCTTTCCTGTGACGTCACGGGTGGACCCTTCAAAGTCTCGTTTTATAATCGCGTGAGGCACGAAGGAGTCTTTCCTACAGCCGTTGTTTGCTGGTCTCGTCATGATTTTTTACTTACAGTTTACTTCAATATAATCAATTTTTTCGTAATGGTGAAGCATTGTGCCGTCCAGTTTTGTACTGATTCAAACAAAACTGGGCATACAATGCAAAT